AGGTGCGGGCAGGCTGCAGCTTCAGCTGGGGCCCCCATCACCACCAGCACTGCCTCTGGGCTGCTTTTCTACCCCAAGGACGGGCTGGATGGAGCTGCTGCCTGGCTTTGACATCACTGGCCAGACAGGAACTGCTGTTGGGTGCTGCTAAAAAGCAGGACCTGGTGGTGGGTATTGCCACCTCGCTGCTGCCGCTGTCGGGAGCCTGCATCAGGGCTGTCCTGCATGACACCCCCACTGCCACCACCCCACTGGCCATGGGGGCCCAGCGCATTCTGGAGGCAGCTCTGGTGGCAGCAGTGGGTAAGAGCTTACAGGGCAGCCCCAGCACAGGCTGGGCAGCAGCAGCAAGAAGGGCCTGGCAGCAGCAAGGGGGAGACAGCTGCACCTGCTTGCCAGGTCCCACTTTTTCCCTGCGCACAGCAGCAGCTTCTGCCTGGCAGCTGCTCATTGTTGCCAGGGTGAGGGTTACAGAGCGAGTGCTGTAGGGACTCTGACTCCCTGTGTGGAGTGGGCCAGGGCCAGAGTTGCGTGCTCAGCCTGGGTCTTGGCCCCTACCTGCGTGGTCCCAGCCAGTCTCCATGGGGCTAGGACCAGTGGCTGGAGCAGCCGGAGTGGCTGCAGCAGCTGGAAGGAGCCACCACTTCTGGGACTGCTGGGAAATGGAGTCCAGGCTCACAGCTACTAGAGGGCAGCACGATCTGCCGCGGGCCAGATGGTGCCTGGCCCAGGCGGAACCGAAGGACCTGCCGTGGGCCGGACAAAATACCTCTACAAGCCAAATCATTCAACCAAACCCCTTGGCACATGTTATTTAATAGTGGAATGGGATCTGATCCCCAGTCCCAGCAACTGCACCTCCTGTGCAGTTTGGGGACCAGATGCACGTTGTATCCTTTCTATTTGGCAAAGCAGGGGGAGCCCAGGATCATGATTCTGGGCTCCCTCTGCACTGGCATGCTGAAAGCAGGGTGCACACAGCCCCACACATGGTACTGATAATCAACTGATTGTCAGTCCAAACCCCAAGCATCCCTGGATCCAGTTCAGCAAGGACTGCCTGGATGAATAATCAACAGGGATCCTAGTTTTCCCTGATAAAAGCACAAATTCTCCGATTAAAACCTCCAAAATCCATAATTAAAATGAAAGGCCCATCATGCCCCCATGGCCCTGCTGGTGCCTCTCGCTCCCCTCCCCACCCCACAGCCCCCTGGCCCTGCTTATGCCCCTCCCCCCAAAGAACATCCACCTCCCCAGCTGTGCTGGCGGAGGCCCCCAGCTGGTAGGGCTACAGGGCCAGGGACCCAGGTCCACAGCCCCCTGGCAGAAGGCGAGGGCTGGTGCAGCAGAACGAAACCCAAACAGGCCCCCCTGATGTCTGCCTGCTGTGGACTCCGGTGGGGTGGGGCTGGCTCCCCACCACTGTGCACACTCCCAGGGTGGCAGGGGGAACCCGTGGCCCGCAGATCTGTGCGTGGGGCAAGTGCAGGGGTGGGCTGCCTGCTGTGGGCTCTGGCTCCTGCCCTGCTGCCCTCCCCTGGGAGCTCAGCAGCCTGGCAGGTGCAACCCAGTGCTGCAGGACACAGCAGGACCGCATGGGGAAGCTCCTTGCCACTATGAGTTCCATACTGCCCTGGCAACGTGCTCCCTGCACATGTGGCAGCAGTGGGGGTGGCAGCATGGGGTTGTGCCCCTCACTGCTGCCACGCAGGCAGGGGACATGTTTCCAGGGCAGTGCAAAGCTCACAGCAGCAAGGAGGTCCGTAGGCAGCCCCGCTGTTCCCTGCAGCACTGGGTCACACCTGCCCACCCCGATATATATGCATATGGTGCCCCCTGCTTGTCCTGCCTCCTCCCACTCCCCACAGCCCCTTGCAGGCTGGAACTCTGCCCCCCTGCAGAGAGCTCTGCAAAACTGCAAAATCCATGGGTTTCTCTGTTAAAACAAGAAATCCACGTTTTTCTCAGGTAAAGGGGGAAATTCATGTTTTTCTCCGTAGAAAATGGAAAACCCGGATCCCTAATAATCAGATGACTGTTGGCCCTGGCTCAAACAGCCCCAGGTCTGTTTGAACTCTAGCAGGGTTGCAGGGTATAAGGGAGCAGAGGCTGTTAGCTGAGAGAGCCAACAGGGACTTTAAACAACTTGTTTTAATTTCTGCTTGCCATTTCAGTCACTGTTTCAACAAAAGAGAAGAAATACAGTCTGGAAAGCATGATTACTGGGTGTGGAAAACTTGTGAGGAGAGAATGAAAATGCTGGGACCTTAGGGAGATGATGAAGGAAAGGTTTATAATGAAAGAAAGATCTGAAAAGGGTAGATCAAGAGAGTTTTTGTTCACCCTTTCAAGTATCATAAAACAAGGGAATGTTCAAAAAATTAAAAAGTGAAAATGATGAGAGCTGACAAGTGTAATTCTTTTTTTCCCCTACCTAATGGATAGGGACTTAACACGGATAGTGACTCCACGTGGCACACTGTAATCTACCTGATACTTACTAATCTCTGCATTACAGGTGATAATCTCTCTCTTGAATAGTTTTGCTAACTCCCTAACCCATTAGTTGAGGGACAAAGTGCAGTGTTGCAGAGGGCAGGTTAGGAAATGCAGCTTGGACAACAAGAAGTTGCAGGGCTCCAAGCAGCAAATGAGGAGATGGGAAGAGCCCTTACTGCTGATGTAGATTAACTGGAACCTTCTGGGCCATTTTCCAGAGTCAGGTCAATGACTGGGAGGGGAGGCAGCACCCAACAAGGACCATAAGCCTAAGCCTGAGACTAGAGGCTCAGTTTGGCCCAGATCATGAGTGCAAGAGTTTTGCACAGAGCTGTATATAGACAGATAAGTTATTTTTTGTTTCTTTTTTCAGTTTGTGTTATCTACAAGGTTTGGGGTAGCTTGATAGGGGAGGAGGTGGCCATGAAGAGATGCCAGGGTGGGGAAGGGTGCTAGTGAAGCACCCCACATTCTGAGCTGTGGTCCAAGGATTTAGCACAGTGACACAAGCCCAGATACCCAGCACAGGGAGGGAGAGAGTTGTGAAAACCAGAAGTACATGCAGCTGTGGACTTCAGGGGATGGCATGTTCAGCCTGGGCTGTGGCTCAGAGCACTGAGCCAGGGAGTTACAGTCAGGATCCTGTTACGCTCTT